CAGAACCTCGGCGGGGACAGCGCCCGCCCGCGCCCGGCTCCAGGGGAAAAACGCTGGGGCCGCTCCTGCTCCTCCCTATGTCATGTGCTCGCATTAGAGACGGCATGCGTGGCTTGACTGCGTGACAATCTCGGTTTGAAACTAAACGTTCTTTTATGAAAATGTGGCTCCTGACGATTAAGAAATTACTGAAGTGGACGCGAAGATAAATACTCTTCGGTAACAGCAATGCCAACGCAGAAGGGCTGCATATATTTCTTTTTTTTTTTTTTTAATTTACTATTCTCTAAACTTAAGTCACTCAGCAACATGGAACATGAATGTTACTGTTTACCGAAAAGCCTCTGAATAGAAGCTGTTCCGATTTGTAACTGAGGCCTCGGTGACAGCACATGGCAATGCAAATATGATTAACGAATCTACCCATCAAAGACGTTCCTGAATTTGAGGAATCCTAACATCGACAGACACTAGAAGAACAGTCCTATAATTTTACACCTGCAAGGCTCTTGGACAGCATCTGTTTCATCGCTAGGTCCTGCCCGTTATTTCTTCTTCCTTAAGCTGAGCTTTTCGTGTCCCTAAGAACAAGTGACGGGCAGGAGCTGGGACGACTGCCCAGAGGTCTCAACTCCCAGTTCCCATCTTTTTGTCGTTGTTTCTGAATCACGAGAAACTCAACTACCTAAGTGATAATATCGGGCAGCAACACTTTACTTTTAAGAATGGGTTTCGCATGAAATCCAGGAAACTCCTCTAGAAAATGATTTAAATGATAAGCAATGCTTTTGAAAACAGCAAGGTTCTATGACCGTTCAACTTCTGCCACGAACACTGCGTACTCTCAAAGAGGTCTTCAGGTCATGCTGCCTACCGTGCGTGTTCACGTGATGCCGTCTTTTTAAGAACTAACGATGGACAAAGCGAAATGCGACCAGCACGTTACCTGGGTCGGTAAGCTTCAGCGCCGTCTTTAATGGTCGGCAGTGTAACTTTAAGAGGGTGACCAGAAGCGGACATGGACTTCTGGTGGCGGGGTCGTGCCGAGGGGACAGCCGAAGAAGCCACAGCAGGACCTGCAGAGGACACGCTACTCACGGACATCTCCGTAAGGCTTTTGACAGAGAACGGGTGGGAAGACCATGGAAACGTAAGAAAGAAGAGTTGCAGGTCATTATAACTGAAGAACTAGATGTTTAAACAGCTCAGCTGACTCATCCCCTTCACGAGTGAAACACTTGAAATGAACATTAGTGGTGTGAATAGTGATTGCCAAACACGATTCTTGTGAATTCACAGCCACCTTCCGTGGGCAAGATGTCCTACACACTTGCTCTCCCTGTGTGAGTCTGAGAAAGTATGAAATGATTTTTGTGAATAAAATGATTACGACTGGAGACATTTTTCACTTTCCAAAAGTCAGTGTGGTGTGATGTGTTGCTGCGGTCTGCTGTCCATTACACAATAAAAATTCACAATTATAGCAAAGGCACCACTGCTGGAAACAGTATTAAGACACATTTAGCTCACACCATTAATCGCCAGGTTAACCACTGCAGGAGGAAGGAGCCGCGGATTAGGCCTTAGCATAGGAGAAAGAATCCCAGTTGGGAAATAAGTTCCCAATCATTTTTCTCGCCTAAACGATCTCGTGTCCAAGGACGATACCTTTCTACGCCTTGTAGTAACACTTACTGTACATGTCTATTAATTAAGAAGAAATACATGTAGGAATGGTCTGCCCAGTCTACTGAAATGACTAGGGAAGAGAATTTCATTAGAAGAGGCCCCCAGACCTTTTGCAATAGATGGATGACTAGTCCTGTATTACAACCCATGATGAAAAGCAGCTAAAATTTTAAAATAATAAAAGCAATACGGTTTATCAGTACTTAAAATAAAACACTGAGAATTTTATGGTTCTCAATGATCAGCTTTAGAGGAAGAAAAATCAAGACTCTGTTATTTGGATAAAGTAAACGACTTGCTGGCAGGTGAAGGGTAGGAAGAAAGAAGTTCGCAGCAGGTGTATGACAGACTAACACACGCGTTATGAAGATCGGATTAGGATGGTATGGTCTGCTTTGTTACAGGAGAGTATGAGATAATTTTTAAAGGGTTTATTTGGAAATTCTCAGGTTGGGATTTACCCCTCGCTTTCCGTATTTCCTCCTCTGGCAGATAGATGCCTTGGTAAGGACGGTTGGTCACAGTCTCACCCGTTGGTATTTCCCTTTCTCCTGCCCCAGCGGCGCGGGCGTGTCACCAAGGGTCCCCGCGCGGGACCGCCTGGCACTCCGCCCCTCACCTGCTGTCCTTCCCGTTCTGCAGCGCCGTGCAGCGGTCGGTGGTCCTCTCACAGACGTACGTGTTCCTCCTAGCCATGCTACCTCCGGCGTACACGTTGTTCTTTAAGATGGAAAAAGAAGAAGAAGAAAAAAAGCCATTTTCAAATCCTAACTGTAGTTGTGGAGAGTCAAAGAAATGAATTCGAGCTGCCAACGACTCCGAGAAAAACCCACAGTGGAACTGCACTTTCCTAGATTCTCATTCTTAATGAGCTCGCTCCCGCGCCTCTCTCTCTCGGACTGTAGGAGGCAGAGGCAGAGGGTTTAGCTCGCTGTCCTACAGCAGCAGCAAGTGGCTGGGAAGAAGCAACTGGACAGCTGGCTTTCCATTCTCTCCTTGGTAAGCTGGGGGTGGGACAAGGGAAGGCGAGTGGTCCAGGCAGCTTCATGGGACTAGGAGTGGGAGACAATGCTGCATAAATGTCATCGCAAGCAGGAACCCTGTGGCGATGAAAATGGCTAAGGAGAGCAAAGCTTCAAGGTCAAAGGGATGAGGCCACCAGCAGAGGTGTGAACGGGGCCACTCAGAATGTCTGCTGGTGTCAGGGGTTAGCCAGGAGGAGAGCCAAGTCTGAGCAGCTCTGGAGGAAAGAGAAAGAATGAGCAAAAAGGGGCTGGTTCTCCTCGCTGGGCACACGGCCCGCAGTTATTAAGACACATTTAGCTCACACCATTAATAATCGCCATGGCCGTGACTAGTCACCACGGCAAAGTCACACAGGAATGTGCCTCAAAGGGATAAAACACTCTGTTTAACCCGTACTCCAACAGACAAACACCTCCCTATTTTTGGCTAATCCAGCTTTCACTCTTCTTTAAAATACATACTTAAAATTTGTTTTATCGCGAGGGCTAGAAAAGGAAGAGAGATATGCTTGAATTAAGTTTGGAGAAGGCAAAAAGTCTCATATAAACAACACTCTGAGTGCAGATTCTAAATCTCTCAATAGTGCGAGATTCTGGGTGGAAAGAATTCTGTCAGCAGTTATATAATAAACATAAATTAAAAACTACAGAAGCATGGCAGCAAAACGGGCTAAGATTATTAAAAACATTTTTTAGGTAAGACATGGTCCAAGCTGACCTGAATGACAGGTTAATATGGGGGAGCAGCAGAAAACGAGGGACCAAATTATCTTTGTTATGTAGATGATAATGGTCTGGAAACTATCCTCTAGCTCAGCGGTCCCCAATATTTGTGGCACCAGGGACGGTGCTCCCATGAGCATCTAATGTCTGATGATCTAACTGGAGTTGAGGCGGTGATGCTGGCGCTGGGGAGCGGCTGCAGATACAGATGAAGCTTCGCTCTGGTCTGCTGCTCACCTGCTGCTGTGCGGCCCAGTTCCTAACAGGCCACGAACCAGTCTGCGCCCTGGGGGTTGGGGACCCCCGCTCTAGCTGATGTTTAGATAAGGGAAAATAATGGCTTGCCTATGAAAATTACTTTTAAAAATGTATTAAGCCTTATTATAGTTAAATCACTTCCAAACATAGCAGCTGGAAGATAAGTGCTTGTATCCATCGATTCTTAAAGTGGTTATATATATGTATTTCATAGACTAGGAGGTGATAATTAAATCACATTTTTAAAACGTATGATTGCAATTAACTATATAAAACAATGGGTACTGGAGACTTAACCCACTTGCAATTAAGGTTATATTGGGCTTTCTGGTATCTCGGTTCACGTTTCTGTTTAAAGTACTTTCAATTTTTTTTTTTCCTTTCCTATGTTCCATAGGCTAGATCAATTTCTTTCTCTTCTGTTGGTTTAAAAGTTATAAATTCTACGTTTGTTCTTATATCGTTTGCCCTTAAGTTTCTGAACTCATGTTTGATGACTACCATTGATTTCTTAAACTTATCCTTATCTTTTTCTGCTGAAAAATGCATGTTTTCATTTTTCTTTAATTTCCATGCCAGAATTTTGGTTCCAAATTTTCATTTTGTTTTTGTTTTTGTTTTTGGATGTTACCACATATATACTTTAATAAGCTAGTTGGTCACTTTCAACTCCCATACGTTCTACAGCAAAATTCTAGATACGGTTCTTTTTAAAAAGAGTACTCCCTCTAATGGTACAGTGTTTCCTTTTTCTTGCGGTTCTTTTTAAAAAGAGTACTCCCTCTAATGGTATAGTGTCTCCTTTTTCTTGTTATTTTTTAGGCGAGGCAGCCCTTGGTTGACCTCGCAGATTGTCAGCTTGCAATCCCTTATTTTTTTATTTTTGACACCTACAACACCTGCTCTTCCTAGATGGTTTCCCATCCAAGTACTAACCAGGCTCGACCCTGCTTAGCTTCCGAGATCAGACAGGGTCGGGCTTGTTCAGGGTGGCGTGTTCGTAACTAGTACAGTGTTTTCAAATGGGTTCCCTGGGCAGCACGAGCGTTGAGAGAGATACTTTCTGCCTGAGACTCTGCCTATCATGCCTTCACGTTTAAATGACAGTTCAGCTAGATATAAAATTCTGGGTTCAATGTGCTTCTCATTCAATGTATTTATCTTCCTGCATCCATAACGCTATTGAGAAATCTGAGGTGGGTCTGAATCCTTGTTCTTTTTGAGGTCATCTGCTGTCTAAAAACTCTATTTTAAGAATTTTACTTTTTTTTCTGGTTTTATAGATTCTACTTTAGTGAGTCTAGGAGTAGGTTTTCCTTCTGGTTTCTGTTTGCCCTTCTGAGTCCTTTTAATATGAAGTTTTCTATCTTTTTTTTTTAAATTATTTCTTCCAATATTTCCTTCCCTCATTGTGTCCCTTTTCCTTTCTGAACACCTGTTATCTAAATGTTACCAACTCTACTTCTACCTTTTGTATATCTTAGGTTTCTTTTATACTTTCTATACCTTTACTCTTCCTGCTGCCTTACGGAATATCTCGACCTCTCTTCCAGCTTCCATTACGTAATTTATACAGTCTGTGGTTTTAATGGAACGTGAGCTAATTTTATAAAGTAATTCTTAACAGAGTCTGCCGTCATCGAACAACTTATTTGTAAACGTAGAATTAAATGCACCCATATAATATTATTTAAACATTACAAACAGGAAAGATGAGGCAGGAAAGTCTAATGCACTATTCGGTGGTGAGGCTAAGTGTAATTTAAAAAGTTCACATTTTATTTTTTCGTTCTTAAGTTGCACTGATGAGAAGCTTGGCACCTTTTGTATGTTCCTTAAATGTATGATTCGCTTTAAAGTTTTGAAACTTTTTTAAAAAAGAGATAAAGGTTTTCGAAAACCTTTTCAACAAAAAAATTCTCACAACACATAACCACCCCCGATGACAAAAGATAAGACGATTTACTCACACTTGGAACAGTTGAAGATTTTTTCCTTTCTGGCCCCACGAGGGGGCTGGCAGTCATCTCGCTTTTTGATCCAACTGTTGTGCTGCCAAGTTTGCGAGCTGTGACGTCTCTGTCCCACCCCCCTCTCTGCTCACTTTCCACGCTGGTAGCCTGAGGCCTTTTCGTATATGAGACGGCGGGAGGAATGGACGGGCCAGCTATGACAATAATTTAAAAAAAGCATGATTAGCTACCCGACGGCTAACCGATTTTCTTGTTACGAACAAAAACTCTATTAAAAAAATATCTTTCTTTGCATATTTTACAATCCGAAGTAAGATTAAACTGTTAAATTAGAAAAGTCAGGGGAGATTCTAGTGATCGGTCACTGATAGAAATCTGTGATAACTGGGAACAGGAGCACACAGAGATGTGAATGCAGAATGCTTAAAAAAAAACACAAGTTTGGGTGGAGTCAATCTGCCTCTTCGCCTATTTGACTTTCCCCACCATGGTCGCTAAAACGCCGCTGCTTCTGGTTGGCTGAGACGCTTCGCTGGACCTTCAAGTGAGCAGGGGACTGGAGAGTGCTGTTGTTTAGGTCACTACTGGGCCGTGACCTCTGACTCAAGTTTCCACTGGAAAATGACTCACCGCCTTCGAACTGTGAGGAGAAGACAGGACCGTCAGGGTTTTAAAGCACAAAAACGTTCAGCAAGCGACACGCACTCTTCATTTCCTAATCTGGCCCATTAATCCACACGGGGAGTAGTCAGAACTTAATCAAATAAATCGGCTGGGTGCAGAACCGCAGGTCGGCAAACGGGCAGGGAAGGAACTGGATATGGTGTTGTTTCCCCGAGTACGTGTCACCTTCTGTGATCTCGTCCAAATGGCTTTGGAGTCTTAAACGCCAAATGTCTGCCACTACTCATTTAATGGTTATTATACACTAGGTGCTGTGCTAAGCTCTTTATATAAATGACTTTGTTTAATCGTTATATTTTTAAAGACCCTGTTCGTTATTTACCTGCACTTTATAGACGAATAAACTAAGGCTGAGAGAGTCGATGGTCAGCTCTGGATTCAAACTCAAGAAAAAATCTAAAACTGAAGCTTTATACACACACATATGTGCACATATTCCCACCCACCCCCCCCCATTTACAGAACAACATCTGGTTTACTGGCTGTGATCAATTCATGGCACCTACTTAGAACTAAGCAGGGTGCATTTGGGATCGATACACTCTCCCTCTCTCTGTGACCTAAAAGATGTTTGCAGCCAGCAAACTTTTAACTGAGTCCCTGGCGTCCCAACGGGAAACCTAAATTCCTGTGTAAAGATACTAATGACACATAGCGGAATAATATTGATAATGAAAATTGTAACAGAGAACAGCTAACACAGCGTACAAAGGAACCGTTCTAAGGGTTTCAGAGGTACTAATCCATTTAACCCTCAATGATCCTAAGAGGTGGGTACTAGTATCATCCTCATGTTATAGGCTAGGAAACTGAGCCACAGAGAAGTTAAGGAAATTGCCTGAGTCGCCTGGTTATTTGGCTGGAGGCTGGCTAGGGTGGGGGAGGGGGCGGGGATTCAAACCCAGGGCACCAGGCTCCAAGTTCGGGTTCTTACTACTTCCAGTAGCTTCATGAGTTTGTAGTAAAATCATAGTTAAAACTTGATTTTAATTCATGCACGGGCTGGACTGTGTACGTGCAAAATCAGTGTTTCCTTTATATTTATTTAAATGAACAGGAAAGTTAAAGATCTTGGGAGTGAAACCTAAAATAGACGCAGAAACACTTCGAAGACTTTACAAATAACCATTTGTACTATTTCTCACTTCCTAAAATTCTCTAGACTCGGCCTGTTTGATGCCACTTCTCCAGTGACACTCCGCTCCTCCACTGTAATGACAGTCCCCACCTAGTAGGGTCGTCGAGGGGATCAGATGCATTAATAAAGTCCCTAGAACAGTTCCCAGCACAGCACTGTGTGCTCCTCTGACGGTGACCCCCAGGTCTGTTCACGCCAGTCAAGTCACTCCCCTCCCCCCCGGACCCGGCTCTTAATACCCAGCGTCCACTAGACAGCTCCGACAGCCATCTCAGATGCGACCACGCCGAACCGAACGCGCTTCCTACCTTCCCCCCACAATCCACCCTTTCCCCATCTCGGCAAACGGGCCTTACAACATCAGTCGCCTACGCTAGGAATCCGGGGGTCTCTTACCCCTCCCTCATTTCAGACAGGGGCTGCAGTACCTTTAAATTCTGCGACTTACACGCCTTGGCCTGTGGCAGGCGCCCCTCCTCCTCTCGGCTCTCAGAGTCCCTGTAGCGCCCCCACATCCCTGCACAAACCAGGCCTCACCTGCTCATCTGGGGGCTCCCCAGAGCAGGAGCTTTCTGTTCATGGTGCTAAGCAGAGTTTCTGGCACCGGGGAGGATCAAGAAATGCCAGCTATGTGCACTGCTTCTCTAGTAGCTACTATGTAATGATAAATAATTCCAGCCTATTCTATAAAATGCCTCCCACGGACGTCAAGTTTTCAACAAACTGTCAATGCTCCAGGCTCTGTACTTGACTCTCGGTTTATACCTCTGCTGTCCCAAAGGACCACTGGCTGTTACGGTTCAATCACTGTTGCACACAGTTGGTTCCTGAATCTATCTCCTTATTACAGATCTGTCCTGGCCTTGAGAATTCCCCACAGAATGTATCAAAGCCACTTGACACCGCAGAAGGTGAAACATCACCGACATTCTCCTGGGTTCCCACCGACATGAATCATTAAAGTCGGATGCTTTGTTTTAAATGCTGTCACCTCCTCGTTTCGGCCACAGTCCCTTCTGCACACCCAGAATACGCATGTCGCCTTTGGCGGCACTGCTGCATTTGGATACACGACTCTGGGGGGCGCCGTTCTCAGAGACGAGACCGTGAACGCTGCCTCTCAGAGGTGAGGCACTCGACCACGCGTTCATAAGGGAATCTCTCTGAGTACTCGGAAATAAAATCAGTTCATAGCTTAGCGTCCTGAGTTTTCTAATAAATGAGAGTGTTCGGGTCTTTATATTATTTTTGACACCATATTATATCTTAGGCTTAGCTGTTACTAGCTCGAGAAATGATTTACGTTAACCTAAAAAGGTGAAACACTTACTTCAGGTGGTTTTCTACCTAGAAGAATGTAAGTAGCCATGACTTCGTCATATTTCTGATTTATTAAGGCGTCATTTATCTCATCTCGTGCAAAACCCATGGTGACCATGATGTCTAGAAATTAAAAAAACAACAACAAAATACACATTTTCTGGAAATGGATTTTAGTAAACAAACCATTAAAAACGGGCAAGTCTGCCGACATTAGCTATTTCGAAACGATGTTGTGAAATTTTAAAGTATAATATCTATAATAAGAACTTCTGGATTATTAACATACAGATACCATATATTCACAGGTTCCCATGCAGAAATTACCGACATCCTGGGTTCTACATTCCAGGGCCCGCTCCATTTCTCACTGCCTAGCCCGTCCCTGAGCTGAGTTCCTTTGTGCAGCCAGAGACGCAGTACGTGTCCACCTGAGGCACACGCAGAATCCCTTCTCTCTCTCCAACACACCCCCAGGCGGCTTCTCTCTCTTAACCATCTCTGCGCTCTGTCTGAAGGCAGGGTCTCTTTTCGTTGGAAAGCTCCAATTTCCACAGTTGTTGTTCTGATTAGAATCCTGACACCCCGAAATGCTCCTCCCTCTGCCCTGAAGCCCGACAAGCGCACAGTTGAGATGACTCGGTGGTGACTCTTTGATGGCTTTGGGCTCGAAGAGAGAAAGAATGAACAGAGCAGGCTGGGAGCAGAGCTCCGGCTCGCTGCGGGAAGGTGGGCCGTGCTGGGTGCGGGGAGAACAGTGAGGAGCAGCCCAAGGGTCTCTCCCTTTCAACTCTACGGTTTTGGTTAAAATACATGCACGTTTTGCTAACGTTCACCGGTCTGATGGGTGCTGATATTTGAATCAGTCGTTCCTCTTGCTAGAAATTGCTGAAAGAATGAGATTTATCTATATTATTTTAATTTTTATACCGCTGTTGCCATCAGTTGAATTAGATTATAATGCACCTGAGAAAAAAAAACTAAGGAACTTGAAGTCTGTAATGTTTAGTGTATATTTGGGGAAAGAAAAGATGGGAATGCAAGTATTTTTCAAATAAAAACTTCCTATTTTATATCTTTAAACACTATTTTGGGGGACTAAAAGAGTCTTCAGGCACAGGGACGACACCTGTCAGACGATTTAAATACTTACCTATTCTTTTTGTGTCGTTGAAATCTGGTTCAGGCTCAGTATATGGCTTTAGTTCTTCTGCTTCGTGACCAGCATTCATCCACCGATCTTTCATTATTTGCTAGGAAATAAATTCTGCGTTATGTGTGGCCAAGCAGAACCTTCGAACACTCACCTGAGCTCTATTTTAGTAAATGTGACATTGACTGGCCCACTCGCTAAGAATCGTGTGACCTTTTCAAACTATGGTTATTGTTTCCGGTTTGATTAGCAGGCCAACAAGGAACGTAGGACTCTGGGACATAACTTACCTTATGACAGCGATGACGATCGTCTCAGGCACTCAGCAAACCTACCGATTCAAGACAGCCCACTGCCCAAATTCCTCTACAGGGAACATTTTCACATGGGACAGTTTTAACATGAGGACCTACTGATTTTGACCTCTGCTTCCCATTTTTACGTTTAAGATGAATGAAGCGTGGAATGCAGTTTTCAGGGAAGAGTATGTCATTCTGAGGTAGGACTTGAGCTGCCTCCTGAAATCCAGGTGGCATTTGGATCGGCAGCAAAGTCACAGCACAGGGACGTGGGAAGGGGCGGGAGGAAGACTTGGAACCAGGGTAAACGCGGTGAACGCACGGACGGGAGGTAAAGTCAGCATCTTCGGATGACGGACTTGAAGTTGCCCTGGCAGCGGATGGGGGAAGGCTCCATTCTGCTAACGAGGCAACTCGGCGGCGTTTTGGGAGCGGCGCCCATGGAGGAGCGATCTGAGGACACGCGGGGGGAGCACCAGCTGTGCTCCTCACACACGAGGGGGTGGCAGACGGCAGGGAGGACGAGAGGCCCCTGGGCAGCGACTCCAGAAGAACCCGGATCCGCCTCCCTTCCTTATTAGCCCAGTCACGGGGGTCCACTTAGCAAAAACGGTGTCCCAAAGACACCTGTACGCAAAAGCAAACTAAGATGAACCGAAGAGAAATTTCCTTCCATGAAGGGAATGAGAGATAAAGCTGGGAAGAAAGAGCTGCTTAGGAGGACGTGGAGGGAGGCGACGCTTTTAATTCGAAATTCGAAGGTCTTTTCTGAGGCCCAGAAACAGCAAAATACGGGTGAACGAAAGAGAAGGGACGCGCGGCGGGACCCGCCCCGTGGCTGTGCGGCCCTCACGCCTACGCGCGATTCCTCCACGGGGACCAGAGAGTTCAAGTTCAAAGCCAACGAGCAACGTCCCCAGCAATCAGAGGTGCTGTGTGACGGGGGAGGTTTCAGGCAGGGTACACATCACCGGGCCCAAAACGGCACGAGACCTTGTTTGAATAAACTCACCCATTTCTGGTTTCATTTAAGACATCTCAGCACGAGGAAGGAGCGAGAGGCCAGACAAGATGCCAGACTTAGCGAAAGGAGAGTTCACTCTGGCCATCCCCGCCAGCGAACGCACGTGGCCACTTGCCGAGAAATCGTAACAGAACCGATGTGGATGAATTGTAAGGAACTAAACAAATCAACGATGAAAATACACACCCTACCCTTAGATGCCCCTAAAAAATTTATGGACTTTAGAGTGGCCAGCTGGAAGTCATTTTTCGTAAATGGTTTCAAGCTTCGGAAAGTGCACCATATGCTTCTGAGTGTGTGCTTAGGTACCTTTCCTTTTTCGATAAACGTTACCGTTCATTTTCTTTTTTCCTTTACTGTCACTTGCGATGGCCAGAGATCAATGAGACATTTAAGATTATCTGTTAAGAGTAAAAATAAATGCTTTTCCGAGGAGAATCAAAGATGACCGAGAAAGGTCACTGAGGAAGGACTTTGCTTTCGCTCAAATTTTGCATTAGTTTGAAAAGCAACAGTCCATACTGGTTAAGGACCAGAAACAGGAGAGAAGACAGACATCGAAAGGGCAGCGGAAAAGTTTTTCAGTTTCTTTCCAATAAAAAAAAATCTACACACACCAATATTCCAATAAACGGGAAAAAAATGATTAGTTCCATTATTGGCACAATCAGGAAGAGCTGTCCGTACTCACATACGCAACCTGAAAAAAATTACAAAACTGCTCGGATCTAGAAACAACTATAGGTCGAGCAAGTTGAATGTCAAATGAATTAATTTTTATGGAGGACAAATAAAGTAGATTATTTATAAGGCTTTTTAATAAAGCGTGCGGCACATCGGAGAAGCAACAGGAAGATGTTAAAATAAGTTACATAAGAAGTTTAGTAAGAAAATGGGTAGCCACATAAGATTCTCAGAATCGAGTTTCAATATTAACGAAGTATGTAGTGAAGAGACTAGCGTTTTACTCTAATCGATACCGCATAATACTCATGTAACACTGGAAAAAAATACATAAAGTTCCACTTTCAAAAATATGGAAATTATCAGCAAATATTTTATATTAACATGCATAAAGCTGACACAAATCTAAGATGCCTTTGGACAAGCAGTTAAGAGAGCGTCCATGTGAAGACACGCCATTAACCTATTCATTAAAGATACTGAGCATCACCTCTAATAAAATAAATGCGAATTAGAGAAATTACGGCAAACTATGTATTTTGTATTTGACTACTACTTTTTCTTATATTTGCTACCATAAAGGCACTGAATACTAGAAATTATTATATACATACTGAATCAAAGTGTGGAGAATATTTTACTTTCAAATACCTTGGGTCACGCACGATCTTTTGGCACTGAAATACAAGACCTACCAGACAGACTGTTTGTAGCCTTTGACCCAGAGATTACATTCTGGAGAATTTATCTACGTATATAGCCTAAAGGGAAAAAAAGCATATCGCATGATTTCTAGTAAAAACAATGAAAACAGCTTAAATGTGCAATAAGCAGGGGAGAGTTAAATAAACTATGATGCGTGACCCAAGGATAGCGACATGGCTATGACAAGAATGGAGCTCACTCTCACGACAAAGCAAAAAGTATGTACCAAAAAGTTCTAAGGTAAAAAAAGAATGTTCCATGACACGAAAACACTACTGTATAAAAATTTGTTTATACACTAATGATTAGTGTTCAGAAAAGAGCTGTTTTTTATAGTTTATGATTTTTTTTGTTGTTGTAAAGTCGATAATAAAGTTGGTATGAAAAATAAAAGTAAAGATTAATACAATTTTCAACATCACTGCTACCTCAAGGGGAGTTTCTTAAGGTTTGGAGTAAGAAATCTTTTTTTTAAACGATGTCAGGCTTCTCTGGATGGTCATTTCTGGGAACTGTGGAGCAGACCAGTCTCTGTATAGTGATATGTGCAATAATATGATAATATTTCCAATACAGACTCATGGTTCTGTGGCTGAAAAATTTAGTTTTAATAAGCTGGAACTGGAGTTTCCAGAATCTATTCAAATATATCGAGTTGAGCTTCTGTTGATCATACGTTTTCATAATAATAATCTGGCTTTTAAAATTCAACTCAGAATTCTAACACTTTAAGCCTTCCAATTTTAATGCTAATGATGAAAGACTTAAATATTTGGCTATGGTAAATAAATCACCTTTAAGATGCTAAGTATATCTTATTACCTGTCCACAGAGATTTTTAACATCTATTCTCCCAAATAATTTTTGTATGATCTTTTTGCTCTGCTTATTAGCTAAGGTGATGCCTCAATTCTGGACATTTTATTAAGTGACGTTCAGGTAAACCAGATCGCTATCATAAAAGTAAGCCATAAAGTGGGATTAAGAGAAACTTATGTTCCCATAAAATTTTAAACCTATATGACAATCAACAATTTTAATTTTTTCCACATAATTTTTATGAATAATGCTTGAAAATAAGTTTAGGAATATAAAAGTGGGCTTTTCTACTGCACGGGTTTCTCTTTAAAACATTATTAACATACTTTTATACCCCAAAGTAAAAAACCCACAAAAATCCTAGGAAGGAACTAATCACATTTAAACAACTAATTCAGTAAAAAAAATCTGATAATTGATTCACTGATATAAAGCATTTCAAATAATTTCCAATGGAACTGACCATCCCATAACTTCCATTAAAACATATTGTATCTTTTAGTAAAATTACAAAGACCAAATTAACAGGGGAGCTCTGTACACAGGAGTGACTCACTCTAAGGCTGCCTCCTGACCAGCCTGGAGTCCATGCCAGAAAGCCCCATTGCTACACTAAAAAAGTACAGTTTAAATGGCATTAACTCTCTGAATTTTTCTATCCTATCTATGAAAGCAAATGAATGAAGACAAAAAAAAAAAAGTACTAGTAAACAGTACATGCTGAATCTCTGAAGTTTTATGTTCGTTCGGGCTAAAATATCACTCTTAAAAAAGAGAGGGGCAAAATATTTAACAAATAAGTCGTTCTTATTACAGAATCAGAAGGAACGAAGGTTAGACATTTTGGTTACATGAACCACAGATGTTATTCTGCTGTAATATACCTAATACATTTATAATAGTGTCTGTTATTAAAAATAACCTCACGTATGGATAAGTAAGCAACACAACGGTGTGTTAAGAAGCGAAACACCCGTTTCCAATATGTTCTGCTTAAATATTTATAAATTTTCTGTACCGATGTTGAGAGATTTCTGTTCAATTTTTTTTGCTATCGGGTACTAATTTCAGATACATCCATGAAGTATTTACTGGATTAGAATTTTCATCATCTTCTTTCATCCTCAAAATATCTGTACTGACTAAATAACAAGGTTTCTGGACTGGATCAAGTCATTTCTGCCAGAGGCTAGCTTTTCCTCCTTCTCTGACTAAAAGTCAATTTAATCTCTATTTTTGTGTTGTTTTAATTGAATACTTCACTTCGGGACAAAGAAGCAATGAGAAACCAACTGTGATAACTTTCGAGTAGTGAAAGAATCCTGTTACTTTCCTTAGCTCTAACCACAGACAAATTCGATGATTTGGCAATTTTCCTAAAAACACACAGGGAGAATGTTATTGAAAACGGTCGTCGCTTCCTGGAATATTTTAATTATCCAACGTTAAACCCAGAGGACGAAAAAACCTACTCACTTCCAAGCTGCCTCTCTTAACTGGGTTCAGCACTAATAACTTCTTCAGAAGGTTCTCGCAGTCCGTGGACATGTAGAAGGGAATACGGTATTTCCCTCGTAAGACTCGCTCACGCAGTTCCTTAAAAGAAGCAAAAGCAAGCACTTAGCGAGCCGGCTTTTCCAGTCACCGTGCCTGGGGGTCGAGCGTGAGTATCAAATCTGGCGGATACCTTTAAATTCTGGCCATCGAAAGGCAAGGAGCCACTGACCAGCGTGTAGAGAATGACACCGAGACTCCACACGTCCACCTCGGGCCCGTCGTACCTCTTCCCTTGGAATAGCTCAGGAGCGGCGTAGGGTGGGCTTCCACAGAATGTGTCCAGTTTGCCCCCGACTGTAAATTCATTACTAAAACCAAAGTCAGCAATTTTAATATTCATGTCAGCATCAAGGAGAAGGTTTTCAGCCTAAGAGGAAAATAATGAAAAGGACAATGTAAAGAGCCTACGTAACAGAACATATGCAGCACAACCGTTTCAGATCCCACGCCTGTATGTGTCACACCGCTCATGTTTTATCTGCCATCACAAAGTTAGAAGCCCGGCCCGGTACTTCGATGCATCATCCCTGCTCGGAATGACATCTGCAGAAGGCTGAATGTTAACACGATGAGAGGAAAGCTCTCCTGTATACGCGTATCTGCGACTGTTTAAGAAAAGTGATTTTAAACCCCCTTTTTTTTTTTCCTTCAAAGTAAGAAACATCCCGGACCTGCACCTTAACATGACCTATTCTAAAGCACATAAATCAACATCACATTCATCCACTTGGGCTTAAACCAACAAGTTTACCCAACAGTATTCTATGTCAATAGAGTATTTTTGGGTAATGCGAGGCTGATACCTAAAAGAACTGCCAATCAGGGCTTCTGTGACTGCTGAATTCAACCGTCCGCCCTGGCTCATGGAATGCTTCCTCCACAAAGTTCTGTTCTTTCAGTGAAAGAACGCAACGCAGACTCCACGCGATCTTGTTGGTTTTAACCTTCCTTCCTTTTGCTGTTTGAAAACTACATTCTCTTCTGGAGGTAAATTATGGTAGAAAGCAGTGATTTCCACCCCCAAACCCCCAGGTTTTGAAATCCCTTGTGTAAATGCCAGCAATACAATAAAGGATTTGCTTTTGTACGTGTTTTGTTTCAAACTCTGTGTTACAACTGATAGACTTAACGAGGCGCCCTAGGTTACTTGGTAGATACGTTTTATTAGGTTCCAAGGAGTAAAGTTTGACTAAAATGAAAATCGGAGTCCTCTTTATCACTGGAGGGCCCAAGGGTCATCAGAGTCGGGCACCGTGACCATCATACAGCTCTTCCCTTCCCTCCCTGCTTCTTTCCCTTTTTTTGAGGTATGCTAGCTTGGGATATTTATTTTGGAAAATGGAGATACATCCAGCACCCAAAAATATATGATAAAAATAAGGTGTGGTTTGTGACATGATTATTATAGCAGCACATAAATTTGGGAGGTTTATATTAAATCATAGCTACTTGTGGACTGTGTGACAAAACCAGGTTATCTTGATGTCTCGGGCCTGGCCGCTGTAAACTTCCGAGGCCATCTGTGAGCGAGCTGGACTGTGCTGGGTCTCTCTGAAGCATCTGGACGGATATCAGAGAACCCAGGCTCCCTCAGGGGAGGAGAGCTGGGGAGGTCCTCGGGTCCGCTCTCGTGTGGGTGAGAACACGGGGTGCTGATCGTGATTTTTTGCAGATTTCCTTCAGATAAGAAATGAGACGAGAAGCTGGGAGTCAAACGCACAGGCAGGAGGATGGTCCTCTTTATCTGAGGAAGTGACTTCCCCTGAAAATAGCCGAGGGAAGAAACCGAGAACTAGAAAAATCTGGCTCAGTAGAAAATCTGTAAGCTCAGAAAAAGGGAGCCAAATACAGGAGTAGACTTCTGACCACGGTTTCAGACAGAATTTCCAAATAAAACAAAAACTAGTGCTAATAATTGACAGAGACCATGGGAAAAGAAGGAAAAAGGAAAAAAGACTCCTACGTAAGGAATAATTGGGGAGAAGAGAGAAAAAGGAAAAAAAGACTAACGTTTTAGCCCAGGGACTTTGTACCTTCATAGTCACGTTTTTAAGGAGTGTATGTGAGGACAGGACCTGAAATCTACTCTCTGAGCAAATTTCTAGTGTTCGATGCAGTATTATTAACTTTTTGGATATGACACCAAAAGCTCGGGCAACCCAAGTGAAAAGAAACATTCGGACTTGACCAAACTGACAAGTTTCTGAAAATCATCAGCAGAATAAAAAAGCAGCATGTGGGATGGAGAAGATCTTTGCAAACCAAGGGTCTGATAAAGGCTACCATACAAACTACGCGAGGAACCCACACGACTCCACGGCAAAAAAGCAGACAACGCAATTTGAAAATGGCCAAAGCGGTTTTTTTTTTTTTCCCCAAACAAGACAATATACACATGGTCAACCGGTATAAGAAAAGGTGCTCAAAACGACTAATTATTAGGGAAATGCAAATCAAAATCTTAATGAGATGTCACTTCCCACCTGTCGGGATGGCTCGCATCAAAAATATAAAAGATCAGTGCTGGTGAGGATGCGGAGAAAAGGGAGCCCTTGTGCACCGTTGGTGGGAATGTAAATTGGTGCAGCCACTGTGGAAAACAGTATGGATGGTCCTCGAAAAGCTAAAAATAGAACGACCGCGTGATCCAACAATTCTCTCTTCTGGATATAAAGCCAGAGGAAATGAAACCGTACCTCAAAGAGATGTCTGTGCTCCCGTGCTCACTGACTGCCACAAACATTTCTTGACTATCATATGTTTCTTATTCCAAAGTATGCTAGTTTACACTAATAATATGCATTTGATGTTCAGAAAAACATTTAAAATTTTTCCTTGTTACTTCGAGCTTTAATGTGAAGAGTGAGCAGTGGCTCTGACATCAGACAAATCTGGATAAGTGCCCTGACTTGCTTCTGACTGAATGCGACCTCGGGCATTCTTAGTTAGGGACAAAGTCCCACATTTACCTATTAAAGTAAGCTTATTAATGGTGAATCGAATCCTCTATGTTTTAATGCTAGATAACTTCTCATTCATATTTTCTTCATTTTCTCAGTGAAAACACTGCCTTTCGTAAAGTTGCTATGTAGATTAAATAAATACTAGCTTCCTTGTATAGTGCCTGGCACAGCTAGGCGATCAAAGATAGCTCTAATATTATAAAAGACCTGTTAATGATTAAGAATTTTATATTAGAAAATCAGTGGCTTACCTTAAGATCACGGTGAACAATGCATTTTTGATGGCAATACTGTACAGCAGACACAATCTGAAATAAGTATGTGGATAAAAGATTAAAAACTTTTTTGGTAAAAAAAAAAAAGTCACAATTTTCCTCAATTATCGCCTCCAGTTTAGATAAATTACCAACTTGGATTACAAAGTAATATTTAATAATTTCACTGTTCCTTTAGTTCAGAAAACTACACATATTAAAGTGATGAAACGTCCACTCTTAAATGTAGAAAATGTGGAAAAGTAGTATTCTCTTGCTAGAATACACTAAAATATTTCTTTGTCATAGTCCGTGAAGATGGTTATATTTTTCTGTTTACGTGATCAAACGTGTACAATTTGTAGTTTGGGTCAAATGATTTATTTATTCCAGTGTCAGAAGAGGAGCTCTGGCAAACACGCGTCAGATTCCAAGATAGCTGGTTCAAGTTCAAAAAGCAAAACTCTATTTTAGGAATTATATCAAATGTGTTCAAGGCATGTTTCTTTAGTGAGGCCAATTTACTAAGAACTTATCGGTGGGGTATTTAGCAAGATTCTACATTTTCTGTTGATCTATAAAGAAACTGGAAATTTTTTGTGCCTTAAAAAAAAACCCAATTGTCAAAAGAAAGAAAAATGAAATTTAATCTGAAATCTGTTATTAATTCAGCTGGGAAAAGTAATCTACATCTAAAACTAGATTTCATATGTCGTCATAATTTTCAACTATTACAAAGGGCTCTTTGGGGACAAGGGTTAAACAGGGAGGAACCCAATAGATTAAGAGCCAAAGATACAAATGTAATATAGGCTATAGACAATTCTTTGATAGTGATATAATATGTTAAATACAGAAATGGAAAGATTCTGACAGCAATCAAGTAAGAGCCATTTTGTACATATAAGTCTATCTGATGTAAAGACAATTTTAATGCACAGCAGAACATTCGATTCTGTGGATTCAGTTGAATGTAAACACAGTTTGAATGCTGAATATTGGTTAGGCACTTACTAACGGAAAGAGAAATGAGAATTTTAAAAGTCTAAAGGTGATATGACGTATGACTAAGCTACCAGGAATAGGGGTTAAAAAAAAAACCACTTTAAAGTAGAAGTGAAACTGGTAGCTCGGTATTATAAAATTATTATTGTGTATATGAAAATGGCTCAAAGACAGAGAAGACATGTTCAAGACGAAATCAATACACAATGAGTAATATGTAATTCAATTCAATTCATCTGGATTCAACAGTCAGTTCATTGAGTACCCGCTATGTGCAAGGAAATGTGCTGGTTGTAGGGAATACGAAAATTAACACTCCCTGGGCCCTGTCGAGCTGACAGTCGATCCGGAGGTGAAAACGTGTACGTAAGTAGCCATAATACACAGCAGAATACAGAAGCGGATGTACAAAGAAGGAGGAAATCATAAGAAAAATAAAGAATCGATTCAGTTGGAAATGCTTCCTGGAATTGGTGATGTTTGATCTAAGCCATCCCTGAAGGATAGTAATATTTTAAAACGTGGAGATTTGGTGATGGGGAGGTAGGAGATGAGGTGGGAAAATGTACTGATGGTGAAGCCAGACGATGTCTTCAAACAAGAGGTGGGAAATGATCACAGTAAACCCTGACGGACAGGCTGGCGAGGCTCTGAATTCCAAACGAAGCAGGTGCTCGGGAGCAGAGCGACTGAATAATCATGATCCATCTGAAGAGTGAGTCCCCAAAACACAGCAGAATCTTACAATGCCTATTTGCAGGGTTAGCGTTCTTAAACAACGTGCTTCAAAATTCTAATATGCAATTTTCATTAGAATATGTTTATTATCCAAGATACACTTACATGTAAATATTGATATATCTTATTGAGCATAATATATGGGCTATATAGATGTTCATACTGTAAGGCTATTTTTGTATCATGAACGACAGAAATTTGCGGATAATGACATTATCTTTTTCAGGTGACTTTGCCTCGATACAGTGAAGGAGGCGTGCTATAGGTAACAATTTGGTTACCAAACCTGCATTTCGCTTTAGACAAAATGACCTCTACAAAAGCAGTTCCATAGGCACTTCTGGAATAAAGCCCCCCTGAGCCTTAAAGCCTTAAGAATGGAAAAGATAACTACAGAGCATGCTCCGTATTAAGCATTCATGCTCCGCAAACTCCACGATCTCTGACCTCCAGCAGTCAAACGTGGTGGTTCGTGATGCTAATCACCACACTTATCTAGCTGGCGCCATCTCTGCCCTGTAAGAGAAGTCTTGGCTCTTGACTCACTGCAAGAATCCCCGCCCACAAGCCAGGTTTTCCCACGTTAGTCTGTGGCCCGCCCTCCCATCTCGAAACACTCTGTACTGCCATCACTGGATCCAGGAACTGCCCCATAGCCCTTCTGCGACGGACTGTGAAAACACGATGCACAATCAGCCCTGCACTGCCCCTAAGACCAGATATGTTGTTTTTGCTGTGAGGTGCAATTGTTGGGGTCGCTTTGAAGTTACTTATAAGTGGGTTAGGAATTCCTAGACTTGAAGTAGCAGCCTTGATATTGGAAGGGTTGAGTCAATACTATAACTTTTCTTGCACGCCCTCAAATCCTAAGGAATGCAGAGGCGTCGTATGGTCGGTGCAATGCTGCTGACTTGGTCTTAAACTGTCCCAGTGTCTCTGCTGTATCTGACAGCAGAGTCGAGGACACATGTATATGTATATCCTTGCCATAAGGTATGTTTCTTTACCGATAAAAAGTTTTTAAGTAATTTCACAAAATACAGAGCAAATATAAAAGAATATGTACATTTATTAATTCTTTACGTTTTAATTAAATTTTAAAGAAAAATAAACCACGATAAATTCAAAAACAAATATAACCTTTTTTTTAAATAACTACAAAATGCTGTGTGTGTGTGTCCCAGGTTTTGGAAAAAATGTGAGTTCTTTACCTTTTTTCTATTTGGGGTGAACATAAATAGTACGTACATTGAATATTTAAACTAAATAATTATAAAGAAACTATTTCCCACCGTTTCACATTTAAACAGCATTCATTTGACACTTAACACCTGCAACACGAAGACTGTAAAGCTGATTTCAAAATAATTCAGACTTTCTTCTTTTCAAAAGCCAATTAGTGATTATTTGAATCTTTAGGAAAATATCTGTGTCCCAGCCTGTTTTGCTCCCGTCCATCTGTAGAGATGGCAAGCTCTTTCAAAGAGCAAGCATGTTCACCTTTCCCTTATTCCATACAGTACCCTAGGACAGTTCCCTACAAGTATTATGTTTCAATCAATAAATAAAACCAGCTGACTAAGAAGAATACAACCGAGGAGTAACAGTCTTTAAAATATACATTGAGATCCCAATGGGACTATTTAATGCCCACTGGAATTTTCCTGTTGGTCAGCTACTCACTAAGACTATTGTAACTGATATTGAAAGAGTAATGGCATTTAACGTGATGACTGTAGCGTTTTCCTACAGCACGCGGTTGACACCATTCAGGGTCTCAGCGCCGCTTCCTTATTCCCGGCTCTGTCTGGATTCAGCTGTTTTAAGGTGAATGCTTCTAGGAGCCTATGCTGCGTAAAAGGGCTACGTAAGTCTTCGGTAGAAAGCATTTTGCAAACTGTGTTCCAAAAAGCCACGAGTCTGTGAGATATTAGTAACAGAGGTTTCACAAAACAGAGTCACGCCATGACCGATCTGGAGAATGCTACGTCTAAAGAAAAGCTAAACAGGCTTTTTCTTTCCCTTCTTTAGGACCTCTCTGTTTATATATTAACATACATGCAAATTCTCTTAGGGAAGAATCTGATACCAGCATTCAGTGTTCCCCAAACTTACTGAATACAGGCCCCCTTTAATTGTAGAATCGGTGTGCATGCTCATAGGAGAGGTACTGAACTATTTTTAAAGAAAATATTTTAAGTTCCAAATATTTAAAATCCCAAAGTTTGAGATACAGCAAGGTGTCTGCTGAAACGTTCCTTCAGTAAATTTTATGACCCATTTACAATTCATTTGTCACTTCTACAGCAATTTATATAGCATACTCATTTCAATCCCTTTATTCCGAAAAATTCAAAATAAAGTCCTGGATCAACTTCAACTATTTTTTCTTATTTTATCATTTCTGTAATAAGTCATTTTCGAGTTGAACCAGAAATATAAGTATCTTATCATATTCTTCTGCCACGTTTGCAGGTTTCCTTGCCTACTTACTAAATGAAATTGACCGCGGTCTTGAAATCTACAAAAATATGAGTTCTAACACCAAGACATCTTCTATTATAAAAGAAAATAACACAATAACCTCTTCAAACAGCACACATATATACTGTATACATGAAGCTAACAATACTTGGTAATAATTATTGAATAAAGGATTAGGTATTTTTCTATCTCAGTCTGCTCTATATTTCTAAGACCATCAGAGTTATGAGCCTCAACTATACACATTTCACTTTTTACGACCCCCTACAAATAACCACTTGTGACTCTCTCCAATTCAAATTCAGGAAGGACAGATTTCTTTCTTCGGTTTTCCATTCATAAAAAGCATAAGCAAGCAGGAATTTTTCTTCTTAAAATACCACGTACCCTAAAGTGCAGTTTGTGACATTGTCCATTGAACATCACTAAAAATATCAGCGAGACAAAGTTGAAAACTACTTTCCGTACCTGCCTAAATTTTGCACGGGCCTCTTTTTCTTTCATTCTTCCATGGGCAACTAAGTAATCAAATACTTCACCTGAATCGGAAAGGTAAAGCAGGCAGTAAAACAGACGTGAAACTTCAGTTAACAATATATGCAATGTCAAGTTTTTGCTGTTTTTAAAAAAGCTTTTGGCTCACAATTTTCTGATCGTTCTATGTAAATCACAAACTATGACATTATGAGGATTAAATGAAATAATGCGTGTGCTTATTAGCACAGTGACCGGCATATAGTAAGCACTCGATAAATTATATATTTGTATCTAGGTACATAGATATGTTATGTATACATATATAATATCAATCCTATGATATAAATACTAAAAATCAAATATGTAATGGTGTATGTCAGATGAAACTAACACACTACAATGTCAGACAGCATATTATATCAAGCATATTTAAATGACTTAATGGGCCTATGGAAACAAATGAATGGATGCTCTAGCTGACCCATGATAGTAGTTAATTCTAGATATGTGAGGTTAGGCTGGGAAAGATGCACACGCAGGAGTTCAAAAATGTGCACTACTCTCAAGTTCTGCCTGGAACACTCAGACACCGAATGCCGACATGACTCAGTCCTTCGCTTACTATATATTGTTTATGGTTTGCTTTCTCAACTAGAATGTAATCTTCTTGAGATCAGGGCCTCTGTCTTTGCTCATCCATGGGTTTCTAGCACCCGGAATATTACCTAGCACGTAGTAAACATTTAGTAAATACTGTTTGCGTGAACGAAAGAAGGAATAAATGCACTATTCCAGAGGAGACTTGACACCTTCTTTAATAGGCTCTTTTGGACAAAACGTGATTCAAAATCATAGAGGAGTTCCCTGCCTTCCCCGTCACTGGAAAGCTCTGGCCCCCTTAGTGAACCAGAATCAACTCATCTACTCCTGGCAGAAAGGAGGCTGTCAGACCCTGCTCTTCCTGTTCACGCTAGACTTCTGTGCGCGTGTCCGGTTCAACCCTAAAATATCTGGATGCTTCAGAGGAAAAACATAAAGTGCTTTATTTTCCAGAGTCGCCCTGCCATTTCTAGATTAAAAGGGCGAGAAAATGATTCTCGATTTACTGCCAGAACCATGACGGTTTTGTGACCGGGTCATTGATGGGCAAGACTAAAGCAGACCTAGCATGAGCAATCGGAAATGACTGAGGGGCTTCCTGGTGTGGGCTGGACTCCGGACACGTCTCCCTACCCTGCACCGTCCCCAACTGTGACAGCGAAGGAAGGCAGTGAGGACACTCCGTCCCGGCCATCGCTCCCCTTCATGAGCACCTGCGGGGTCAACTGTACTTACCACGCACTGTTAGAACGGTACACACGTTAATATTAACGCAGCCTTGTGGTGGGCCTTCGTAGAAACAGAATGGTGCCCACAGATTTTTAGCAGCCTATAATTTCTCACATCAAAGCACGTCTGGCCCCTTTCTCTAGATGACTCGAATGAAACAAAAAGAATCTAAACTAAAAATAACACTCAGGATTCCCACGCTGACAAACTCTTACATAAATCTAACTGAAGGACAGAAAAACAGAGGAACAGCTCATTACGTGGTATTTGTAGGTTCATTGATTTTATTATAGACCTACATTTTATGCAAATTTGCATGGCTGAATAATTTTTTTTAAATCCAGTCACGATAAACATAATAGTAGAGGTCTTCAGATTAAGTCGAAAAACCTACACTGAGATATTTTGAGGATGGAAGAAAGCTTTGTAGAAAACCAAATCTAACAAAACTTTCAATCGGTATTAAAAAACTGAAAAGGGAATTAAAATATATTTGATATTTGTAGTAAATTGCTTATGAAATTGAAGAGACAGCATAAACATGCATAATTTAGATGCTGTGGACTAGACTACATCCTTTTATGCCAGTTACATAAAATTTGAATCAACAGAAAAATCTATATACTTTATCAGCTAAAAGGACTCAACACTAAGTTTTCTACTGATTAGCAAAAATGTTAATTAGCCAAAGTAGTTTAAATTACAGCTTCCGCCACTTCTTCAACTGCTTCAATTTTCCGAGCCCTGAAAGCCGTCAAGCATTCTCCTACACGTGTCTCACCATTTCCCTGTCACTCAATCTTCTGACTTAGAAAATATGTAGATTGATACTTGTTTCAATTGAAATGTTTTACGGATTATCTTGAAAATGTGTAAATATTTCACCTAGAAAATGCTTGTACCGTAGCCTTCATTAAGTACCTTCTGAATCTGAGATTCCCTGCTTATAGTCAAGAGGTTCTAATTATCGTAATAATATGATCTATAATAATATAATAATTAGATAAGAGAATTGAAACATTCATAGATAAAAGTGCAAATTTAGAGTTTTGAAAAATGTCCCTAAGTAATTTTTAAATAAACCCCAAATCCAGCTTTTAAATGTGAGGTCAAGAGGTCTTACAGGCAAACACTGATTTTCCTTAAGATATCATTTAAAGGCATGTTAATAAAACCACAGACTCGTAAACAACGGTGAAGACGTCAGCGTTACAATGAACCGTCAGGTGCTGAGGATTCCGTATGCCTCGTCACAGCTTCCATGCCCCTCATCTTACCCCCACTTGCGTATTCCATGACTAAGTAGAGGGTCTTCTCTGTTTCGATAACTTCGAACAACTTTACTGAAAAAGAAATAAGAGATGTAACTCTTTAATTGTTAGCACATACTGAATACGCTCGAATAAAATCCAAGGTAACGCTAAACCAGTGGAAAATCTGAGTGTTTATTAAAGGTTATTAACTATAATTTTAACTTAAAAAATTCTCTCAAGGGTTATTACTACGGTGAAATAAAACTATTTCTCAAGAAGTGATTTGGAACCAACTGCTGCTGAGTCGAAAGAGAGTTAAGTTTCTGGGATTAAAAAAACATAACTTTTTCTAATTAGAATAATGTAATAAAAGGAAAATCTTAAAATCAAGATAAAATTCTTTAGAATGATAAATTTTACCTAAAGCTTTAAAAGATACTATATTATAATGGGCCTATCATAAAATGTTAAAAGATCTTTAGTATAGAAACAAAAAAAAAATTCTATAATCATGTGATATTATAAAACTTTCTGGTTAAAAATTAAATTATCAGATTTATGTAGTTGAATCTTTTGTTTATTAGAGATATTAATGTGATTATTTGTGGTTTATAATACATTATTAATATCGCTAATAAACAAAAGATTTTAAAATGTGCAAGAAACAAGTAAAAATAAACAGATTAAAAGAACTGTTTTCTACTTCTTATAATCTAATAACTTTATATAATAGATATAATCGATAAATTTATTTGTTAATATGGGGGCAAATCAGAATTTATAGAAATAAATTCATTAAAATTGAAATCAACTCTTTATTTTTTTAAATTCAAATCAGTTACTCTGCCTACAAACTATACTCAAACCACAATACATGTTATCTGGAATTCATTTTTTATAAATACCTGGCACGAAATCTCTCTTTAGAGAGACTGAGTAAAAAGATATAAAAAACATTTATATGCATTAATTCCAAGTTACATCCATTATTTTAGTGGAGAGCAGAAGACAGTAACCTAGCAGAAAACAGCAATTTGTAGTCTTTAGTAAACTTCTTTACAGTCTATTTTTACCCGAAGTATCATTTTCTCAGGTTATCATTTTTCTTCTATTGATATAAAAAGTCCTTAGTACTATATCTTTCGAATACCCTCAAATGGAAGAAAATGCTTATCATTAACTTATATATAAATTTCATACCTATGTTGGGATGATTCAATATTTTCATGATCCGTACTTCTCGAAACAACTATTAAAGAAAAAGGCAGACATACTTCTATTATAAAAAAAACACTCAAGCAGAGAACCAATCAAAACACTCACTTGAAGAAATTCATCTGCTCATAAGACACTACGGGATCCCGGTAATGAACTAAGAAACAAGGTTTGTGTTTCAGCCCCAAGTCTAACTTTGCTGAGATCTGGTTTCCAGGGCAACTTTAACTAGATGAACTTGAACGTTTCTGTGTGTGTGCGTGTGTGTGCGCGCGAATGAACTATATTAAAAAAACTTTCATTTGACTGCTCTCTACATTACTAGGGGAAAAAAAAGAAAAATACTGTGGAAATGAAATGAAATGATCCTTCATATGATTTTTATCCTAAACAGCACGAAAGATTGAAATGCCTTCTCATTTCAACACTGGGACCAAGAGCAGAGCGTACAGCTTGGTCTCTGTGGTCTTGGACGCACGGTGACCATCCTCCCCAGGCTCTGACAGCACACACTCTGGACCCTCGTCCCGCCCCATCGGCTGCTCAGCCTTTTGCTGGCTCTGCTCCCCCCTACTCAACCTTTAGACGTGGAGCTCCTCGGGGTTCAGCCCGTAGCCCCTTGTCCTTCGCTGTTCCTGGATGATTTATCCTGACTTAGACGATCATCAATTTTTTTCTTCTGTTTCAAGCGAGCACATCACATTGCAAAAGAGTGAGGACGACACTGTCACATGGGTACTCTTGGATTTATTGTTAATGTTCATTAAGTGATAGGCAAATTCCATCGTCTACTCTTAGCGGCAAACGGGTTGGGACATATCTCGTAACTAGTGAAAAACGTGCCGATGTCTCCTGGCAGCTCCAAGTCTGAGAATAAAGAATCTGAAGGGATGAATTAGCCGCGGATCCTCAGGCATCCCTCCACTGACACGTTTTCGTTCGTTTATTTGGTTGTTTTCTGAGCAGTGCCTGAGGAGAAGGCTGCTCCCCTTCCCCCTGGAGATGAAGCTGGAGAAACGGGTACGGGAAGGACCCAAGTTCCCATCAGAAAGTAATGTCTTACTCCAGTTAAAACAGTAACAGGCAGCCATCGGGTTCCTAGATGTCAACGACGTCCTGGATATACTGTCCCATCCTTAGTTTCCCCTTCTCCAGTAGATTCTGACAAGCAACGAGAAGGAACCCTGACACGCGAGAGCGTGAACACGTGTGTGGGCTGCGTGTACGAGGGTGGGGTGGAAAGGGAGAGTGGATGCTGGTGGAAGAGGCGACTGGGGCGTTTTCGGTGGCATATGGACTCGGGATAACGAAATGCCAGAATCCTGCTCCGCCAATCACTCTTCCTCCCAAAGAAACACTTTCCACCATCGGCTAGATTCGGGTCATGAGCGCTCCAGGTCTAAGAGAATCTGGGCCAGCTGAATGGCCGCATGTGGATTCAGTCAAGGTCTAAGTTGTCTCTCCCTCTCCATGACGCCCCCTACCCGCTTCCTCAACTCTCATGTTCCCGTCGGCTGCACGGAGGAGAGACTGGGCTGCTGTCAGCTGCCTGAGTCAAAGGGAGCGGGGAGAGGGCGCAGCAGTGACCCGCACAGACGCACGTCACCTCTCAGCCCCGTGCGGGCCTTTAATGGCGAGGCTGCCAGTCCTAGCAGCACCTGCGCGTCCTCGGGACAGACGGAGAGGGTGGAGGAGAGGAGATCTGAACACTTGACCTTAAGAAGTTTACCCCTGAGGTGGAGAGTTACTGTTCAAAAAAGCCAATTATTGGATGTATCAGGCGTTCAGGCTCAAGTAAGGAAAACAGAGGTTTTTTGCAAATAGACTGAATACCCCACAGTACCGCTTGAGTTTCTAATTTCCCGTTGTTTTTCTTTCTCATTTTCAAACTGTGACATCGTGATGTTTCCAGCATGTACAAATTTAGCAGGGGAGCTCTGCATGCATTAATGCCTCCAAACGTGTGGTTTCGCCTTGGCTGTGGGCTGGAAATTAAGGCCAGAGTTTGCGACAGTAGTTTGCTGAGTTAGAGAAATCCGCGCTGAGTGAAGACTTGAGATGGGTCTTCCGTGACTAAAAGGCAGGGACTTTGCTGTCTGCACTTGGGGACAGCTTTTCCGGTCCTTCAGAGGCTGTTTCCTTCTTGGCTGGCTTTGTTCCAGATGAGTGAAGTTAGTAAACAACCCTCGAGTCTGTGGAGAGTTATTTACTTTTCAGGTCAGTCCTTCCTGCTTAGGGCTCAGGGTCACATTCGCCAAACCACCCGCGTTAATCACTTGCTTCAGGAGCATTTTCCTTTTCTCCTCTCAGCGACTGATCCTTCCTCCCTCTTCCATTCCTTCTGCCTAAGTGGCCACGTGGACATGGCTTGGACAACCCTGTTCTATTGATGCCCGAAGCATCATGGTCAGGGGCCAGTCAAATGCATCTCCGCATCTGCTCACCGTGTTGCTTCGGGCTCACCAATGACACAGGACTGGTCGCTGCTTGTTTGATCTTGAGGAAAATAACTGTGGCCATCAAGAACTTCAGGAAGGCAGGGGGTCAAGCTTATTCCCACTGGGAAAGCTTTCCAGGCTGGCATCAGAGTCACAGTAAACTGGGCTCACAGAAGGAGGGTGACACTTAGATCTTCTTGTGCCGTACGACACAGCCTTATTGGCCTTGCAAGTCTCTTGCTCTGATTTGGGTTTGAGGAAAGGTAGGAGCCTGTCTTTGCCTTCGTTGTAAACCGTGTAAAAATTCTACCTCTATCTCTGACAGCATCTCACTGGCCTCTAACTAATGTGAAGTGTGACCGCTGCTTTATCCTGAAGGTGACATTCAGTTCTCAGTTCCAAAAGATTGCCAGGACCTCAGAAGTACCATTCAATGAGGGATTTTATATATGATTTGCCTATATTAACAGAACCCTTTTCTAATTTCTAGGATCATCGTTCTGCTCATTTTTCAGCCTTCAGACATCTTAACGAGACATCAAGTGCTTTGCAAAGTTATTGCTCATAGCAGTGTGACACCTCAGGCTAACTTCTTAAGTTCTACCCATGGTACAGGAGTTCAGATAAAGAGATCTGAATATCATAAATGAATATATATTAGACGATTTCTAATTAAAAAGTAAACAAAACAACTGTCCAGTGGTACTCCCCAAACTTGACAACCTGTAGTCAATTACGCATTGCAAAGTAACAGAAGGATTAGCCTGTTCCACTTTCCCAAAGTTTTAACTTCATAGATAGAGTGTAAGATTCTTCTTTTTTTTTTTATGAACTGGTATCAATTTTATAATGCTTAAGTCATTCCCAGGGCCTTGCACAACTCTGGGCTCAAGCTGGTGCTAAATAAATGGAACCTTTTGAGATATCAAATCAAATAACTTCAGAGGGAAGAAATTAAACATAAAACAGATTACATTTTAAAAGATGGCCAACCTCCCTAGAAATCACGGAAATGATAACAAGAGAACATTGTGCATCCATGAAGTCGGCACGAAGGAAGAAATCTGGTAACGGAGGAGCAATAAAGTTGAGCAACAGTAAATCTCACAAGTATCAACTGGTTAAACAGCTTTGCAGAGCAGTTTGACAATGTCTAGTTAGGCTGAGAATGTGCACACCCTGCAAGCTAGCAGTTCCACTCGAAGAGAGATATTCTTCTACGTGTCTTCACAAAAAGATATACGTGATAATGATCATTGCAGCACTGTGTGTAACAGCGAAAACAAAAATCTAACTAACTAGAATAAAACCCAAAATGAAACACGAAAACGCCAGGAACAATCTAAATATCCACCGAAAGCAAAACAGACAAACTGTAGACTCTATTAAGAAGAGAATGGGTAAACCATGGCATATTTACATAATAACAGCAGTGAAAATAAATGAGCTAAACTATATAGACTAATAAGAATAAAACTGTAAGAAAATGCTCTATGAAAATGCTCTATGAAGAAAGCGAGTTGCAGAAGAATAGGAAGTTTAAAAATAAACAATATGCAGTATTTTATGTACAGATACACATATGTGAAAATTTTTTTAAAATTGGATGGGAATAAGAAAGACCTAATTCAGAATAGTAGTTTTTTCCTAGCTAGGAAAAAATAGAAATAGAACCCAGGAATGGCACGTAGGACTTTAACTGTGTCTGCAATGTTTTATTTCTTAAAAAAAAAAAAAAATTAGACATGAAATATTTTAGTTCAAAAAAAATCATGAGAAAGCAACTTTTCTTAAAATGGGAAAGACATTTTGAAGTCCCCATCCAAAAATTAAAAATAAACTAGTTTACTATGTCAATAAACTTTCCAACTTAGAAAAAAATAGGAGTGTGACTCTTCCAATAACTAAATGAGAATATGACTTTTAAAACAGCCAGATGGTTAGTCTAAAATTCATAGGTGATTTAAAGATTCTTAGCTTCCTCCATTTCCAAGAAAAAAACACTTCCACAGCTATTTCAGTGAACCTTATATAGAATATAGAAATAGACGTATGCGTTAGATAACGAAGGCCAGGCAACGAAAGCATCAAAAATGAAACCAAACCAAACTACCTCCAAAACCCAAGCAAATGGCCAAAAAAACCACAGCAATTCTTTATAATGTCTTCAGTTATGAGTGCTTAATTTTAATTAGAGGGCAGGGACATTTAATACTGTTTGAGAGAGAGAGAAGAGTTTTTCCCTGAAGAAAAGACTCCATTAACTAAAGAAGGCCAACAGGTTGAGAAAGTCAGATTTTTGGTCAGTAAACTGCTTAAAACACAATTTGGTCTTTTCAGACGATCCGGTTGTCTTATGCTTAAACTGTTGATATTGTGGCTAAACACTAACGTTATTGGTATCACGTTTCAAAAGAAACTTGTTTGAACACCTTTTCCCTCAAAATCTGTCATGTTTCAGTGCGAAAGAAATACTTCTCGCCAATTCTTCACTGTATGCTAAAGAGACAAATCTCTCCATAGCCACGATTTTATGATCAGCTCTGTTTTCAGAATTTCCTTCGAAACCAAATCGAGATCAGAGGCATGTTGCCGACCACTAATTTCGTGGCACATGAAGCGACGAATGACAGAGTATTAGGTATAATCGTATTTATTCACACGGCAGAATGACTCCTTGCAAAATAGAAAAAAAAAAAAAAAAAGGCCCTCTTGGTGTTTCATCATTATTGATTCAAAGACAACTCTTGGAGTCCGCAACCCAGCTCCCAAGATGTTGTTAACTCTTCTCTTATCGCTTGGTTTTCATTTGACCCGCAAAAGCATCGGTCGTGACTTTCCCTTCAAACGGTCCACACACACACAAAGAGGCATCCGGAAGGAGGACGCAGCATGGGAGTGGTTCTTTCCGCTGTCAGGTAGGACATCCTGGGAAGCATGCACGTGTGAGAGTAACTGATATTTCAACGTAAGTCCAACAGAGATATCTAAGGAATACTGCTGAAGAGCTCTGTCTGCTTTCTCTTTGATGGAAATATCTGTCGATTTTGTGACTGCTTTTACAAGTTTGGTTTCTTGATAATTTGATTAACTATTCATGAGAATATTGCTTTCATTGTCCTGTCTTCCTCCTCTACCGTTAGTGACCCAATCCATCAACACAACACAGATGATTTGGCAGATGTGCTAGACAAGTCGGTTAGCTTACCAGAGAGGCCTATTGGCTTTATCCGAAAAGTCACCAAAATTTAAGTGGCTTAGGCTGCCATCTGACATTCTACGTAACAGATAACATGCCAACAGTGGCAGTCAATAAATTATTCATTTAATAAGTGTAATTTTCGTATGTTAATTATTGACTTTTTTTTTTACACTTTTCTTGCTTGTGCAAAATCACTGTCCTAGTGCTGGCAAGGCCGACCGCCAAACGGTCTCCAATGCATGAGAACTAATCAAGCGTGGACCTGTTTTTTTCAAAACTTTTAACAGAAACCAAATCTACGAACATAAATAGAAATTACTTAAAAGACAACCACATACACACACTGTACTGGTATATTTAGAGAATTTCAATCTTTCCTTTGCTTTAATTTTCACAGATTAAGGAAAACAAAGTTTCTACTCTTTATATGCCTATCTGGAAAAAGTCGTACTTTATCAGCAAGATTAGCAGACTTTATAACAGAAGTTTCCTGTCACCAACAAGTACATTTTTTAGTCATTAGGATAAAGCACCACTAGGCTTCATGTTTCCATAAGCACGACTTTGCTTCTGTGCCTTTCCCTGCGCCCTCTTGGGAAAAGCCGGCGAGCATGGTTATGCAGTCACTGCCTTTTATAGGGGCTCCCAGCAGAGGGGCAGACAAAAGCTCGCCCGGCGGTGGCTCCATCCCAGGAAACGGCATCTCTGGAGAATTCATCGGCCCATGGAGGATGCCTTTTTGTAACTATTACTGCCACATCACGGTTGGCGGAAAGATCAGTGCTAGAAGTTTCCCCCAGAAGACATCCCTTAAGGTACATTATCTCACACTCACAGAGAAAGAAGAATCCAGCCAACCTTTCACGTTCTCACTGGTTGAAAATACCGAAGCTACGAACTGTTATATGGACTGTCAAATTTAAAAGGAACCTCGGAAAGTACAAAGACAGATCTCTAAGCAGAATTAAATAAACTGAGTTATCTGCAGCCAAGCCGAGCAGAAAGCCTTGACATCACAGACACAAACTTTTCGTTTACTGTTAGAATCACAGCAAGTATAGGTAAACGTACTAAAAATTTCTTATAAGAGTCGCTCTGATTTAGGAATCCAAAGTTATTTACACGGCATCTACATATGTGACTATGATCTCTTCATATGCTAATAAAAATCACAATGTAAATTAACCACGAACTTGACATATAAGGCAGAAATGCTAAAGTGTCTGCTTCATTTATAAACTACTAAAATGTCTATCTGAGCAATCACAGAATGCTCAATGTGCAGCAGGCCTGGGAAACAACCAGCTCAAACTAAACGAGTTTTCTTAGGAGGCTGAAGGATGGTGAAACTGACACATACATGCATTTTGGTCACTTCACGGATGTATATTTCTGAGGAAGAATATTAGGATAAATGAATAACTATACACAATATTAAGCAACCAAGAAATAAATCAACTATCTGTGACAAAATATAGTATTATCGCACCTAATAAGAAATTTAGGATAACTGACTTTACAGAACTCATATATTAATAAACTCACATTCTAATTACTTACTATTAAAATAATTAAATACCTTTTGTAGGCTGGTAGGATTTAGCTGAGTTTTATCTATTATTTTCACAGCAACCTAAAAAAGAGAACCATTAAACTATATTTGAGAATATATTTTAATGAATAAAAATTTATAAAGAAAACATCTTTGTTTCATTCCTAACTAGATATATACTTCAGCTACATTTGGTGTTCACATAATTGGATAATAAAGTTTTGACAATTTGACAGCCTTAGAATATATTCCATTGATCCAAGTCTTTAACCTACTCAATTCTGAGTCAATGATGAAATGAAGCTTTTGTGATTTCCTCTAAGCTTCCCCTTTTAGAGTAAAAATCATGTATATCTTAATCTTTTATACTCTTGATCCTGATAAGTTATGACTAGCAGATGGTGCCGGCTTATAAACCTTTAGTATCTTAAGTATTATGTGAATAAGATGATCACATGGGTAGAGAAATTGAACACCCAAGCTTCCTTTCGGCAGACTAACAAAATGGATTTGAATGCCCTCTAAGTCTCTGCTTAATACAGCCTGTATCTGAACAGTTCCTGGGCTCAGAACGGACAGAGAAGACTCGATTCAACTGGAAGTGACAATAATATTATGCTTAGGGCAAAAGAAAAACTTATTAAAAACATTCTCTGACTGAGATTGTTCATAATGTCCTAACTGGGTCCAGTAAACATTAAGTAACATAGGATGTTAGATGTTTAACTATGTTTAATATTTAACATATAAGTTATTACATATATTAATAATTATTATTAAATATATAAATTTTTGCTACACACAATCTAAAACACATGGGATTTAAGAAACCCAATTCTCTTATTACCTGAGAAAAACCTCTGTGTAATAGTAACACTTGCTCAATGCGGTCTCTAAATGAGTGGGCTCCTTTCTACACATTTAAACCTACTTTATCTTCAGCGGTAATTAATAAGAAGTTACCCTAGCCCAGTTCTTGGGGCAAGACAGCAACGGTAACCAGAAACGTTTACAGGAACAACATAATGAGACAGAAGTCTGAGACAAGCCCATGTGCATCACACTCGATCTTCGAGATGCTAATATGTAGGGATGATTCTTTCCTAAACATTCAAAGGTCACTGTTTGATGCTCTGACACAGCGTTCCACTCACACATCTCCCAGTAGGTAGCATCCTGCGACTGCCATTTCTTCCCAGCTGTCAGATGTGGGAAAGCTTTCTAACAAGCCTCTGGAGAGGTAAATATGCGACACCCAGGTAAATATTAAAAGGCATCATGAAAACTCACCTCTCTACCAGTTAGAACATGTCTTGCCAGTTTCACTTTGGCAAAATTTCCCTTCCCTATTGTTTTCTGTAGACGGTAATTTCCAATGTGAGGCTGCTCGTCTGGGGCAGACGTGATGGAGTTTCTACACCGAGGGATGTTCTGTCTGCTGCTTGACTTGGGAGGCGGGACGTGTGGTTCTGTGTATCCATCCACGGATGTATGCTAAGAAAAAGGTTTCGAGATTTCACTGTTGATTAAATTGGATTAGAAAAGGACAGTCAAGAAGACTACAAATAATTTTCATTAAGAATTCCTCTTCAATTAAAATACACTGCATTACATGATTTTAAAATCTAAGTATTCTATTTACGATTTCGACTGGGCTTGAGCCCCCTTTGCCAGGGAGAATATAGCTATTTAGAATGACATGTTCTGCATAGCTTTGGGTATATGTTTTTGATTTAAAAAGTACAAATGAATAGGAGCTCCACAGACAACACTCCTGTAAGGGTGTTAAACCTTGAGGTTTGATCGGATGACAATGCAGTCCAGATCGTGTCATTAAAATGTCTTTAATGCTAAGACGAAACCTCATGAGTACAGTTCCATTCCTTTAAACTAGACCGACTGCTTGCCGTGTTTACTCTTTCATTTGCTGTGCGTGTAACTCAGCCGACTGACCGACCAGCTGCCTGCTTCAAGTGGACCTCTAATCAATTCCTGCCCAAACCCCTCTCTCAGCTCACCACGCCCAAGCAAGAGCTATCGACAGCCTTGCTTGGCTCCGTGACCTAATATCCACTGCAGTCGTCCTCGGTACTGTTCTTGAGGCAAAGATGTCACTTTGTCTCATAGTCTCACACTAGCCGACGATGGCATGAACAAGTACATCCTGTTCACTTGCAGGTCAGTACCTGAGATCCCAGGTAAAGCTGCCTAACGAACTGTCTCACCAGCCCTGATAGGTCCTGCTCATCTCTAGTTTTGTCTACATTCCTACGTACGGAAAATTCCTAGCTGTTTTTGTGAAAACATAGAATCACACATGTTAAACATAACATCCTTCTTTAACTGGCTTCTTAAAAATAGCTGAAGATGAGGAGAACAAATTAGCAAAAGAAGGAAATCTTTTCTTCGCAAAATAATTCAGACTTCTGTCATCCTATCTCCACTACTAAAACCTGTCTAATTTTTGATCAGAAATTTCTTAAAAATAACATCGACAATGATTCCATTTACCAGTGTCATGCAAAGCACAACTCAAGGTCAGTCATTTTTCTATGTTACTGCTTTCTAAGTTTTTAAAAGCTTGGTTCAGGATTAATTTGGGTATACAACCAGAAGGCGAAGTTAACTCTATCCAAGAAAATTGACAATTTATCACCTCAATTTGAAAATCACAGAGTAGCACTGAGTGATAAGCCAGAAAAACAGAAACGAGATGAGGCTATCTCATCACTCATTCGACATCACAGCAGTGCTAGACAGATCAGCCATGCTTTAGAAGAAGAAAAATACACAGGAAAAAGATTTATTGGTATCATCTTTCCACTGTTGGCATAAATATAAACCTAGAAAATACAAGTAAATCGACACAACCTTTTGGAAGCACTACCTGAGTTCCACACAGTTGCAAGAGAGAGAAAACATGCTTGATAATGGATCAATTCAGAAAGAATCATTTGGTGATTCCTAACTCATCCTTTCATATTAGGCTTAGACGTGACGGCCCAGGAAAAGCCATACATCGTATCGGAGGCTTTATTTTCCCCTCAACTAAGCTGGGTTCGATGCCCATTTTTGGTTTTTCTATTGTTACCTTTAGCGATTCATTACCCCCCAATTTTTCAATTAGTTTTTATTAAGATGATATATGCACGAGGTCAGAAGTGTCAGGTCACTCTACTAAGCTGCTAACAAAAAATATTAATTATTGACTCCTCCCAGATACCACCCTCCCAGATACCACCCTCCCTGACGGCACCCTCCCTGACGGCAAGCCTGCCCCCTTACAGCCTTTCCCTTTTTTCAAAACAAAAGGCTTTCACTGACAATTCTTGGCTCATGGGTCTTAGACAATCTCTCAATTTCCTACTGTGGTCGATTATGATTAAGATCTTTGAGTCTCCCCGCCCCCCCATCCTCCTAAGGCAGTGTAACCGAATTTTCAGTTAAAAAGCCTTGTGTTTACATGATTACGACTTGTAAAAATACTAACTCGGTGGAAGCCAAGTAGTATAGTACGACGCTTCTACTAAATTTTGTCAGCCTCACCGAGGTCTAAATAATGCACGATGAAATTCACCAAATCTGTATTGTGACAAATGTATACTCCTGAAACAAGACACTGTAAACATGTAAAACATTTCCTCACGCCAACAAGTTCCCCGTGCCCCTTTGCGGTCAACACCCGCCTTTCGCTGATGTGCGTTCTGACACCGTACTAGATAAAATTCCCCGTCCAAAGGATAAACTGTATGCGACAGTTTCCAACACCGACCCCCCTTGGCGATCCCGCCCAGCCTCGGAGCGTCAGACAGCACGCGCACGCAGACAACTGCGACACTCCGTCTCTGTCTCCGGCCGTCTCTCCCAGACGCCACCCTGCCGCGTCCACTCGATGTCCGGTGGGCGCTCAGCCTCAGCATGTCCCGACTTGGTCTGCAGCCCCGAGTCCTGCGAAACCTGTTCCGCCTCAGCCTTGTCCAGCTCAGGCGACAGCAAACCCACCCTGCCAGGTGCTCGGACCAGAAACTCCGGGGTCGCCCTCGACTCAGACCCTTCGAACCTCCCTCCCTCTTCCTCTGACCCCACATTCAATCTGTCAGGAAATCCTATTGGTGCTGTGTGAAAAATGCACCCAGAATCCATCTACTGTCATCGCCTCCCTCCCGTCCCCCCGACGGCTGCCACCCAAGTCTGAGCTACCTGGACTTCTGTACTCGTCCCCTAACAGCCTCGTGCCATGTCACCCTGTTCCTAAGCTTGCCCCGTCACTCACAGTGAAAATCCACGTCCTTACGACGGCCCACACAACGCGACCCCTTGTTAGTTCTCTGACTCACCTGCTATCAGTCCCTTTCTCCTTCGCCTTGCTCCAGCCCCCCTGGCCTCACAGCTGGCCTTCACGCAGGTCCGGCACACCTGGACCACAGGACCCCTGACCCAGCTAGTCCCTCCGCCTGGAAGGTTCTCTCAGATCCCTGTGCGGCCACCTCCCTCGGCAACTAGAGTCGCTCCCCAGATCTCATCTTCTCGGTGAAGCTGACTCTGACCCATTCGATACCACGTTCCCCTCCGCTCTACTTCACACGCACGCGCGCACACGCACACACGCACATACACACTCACACACACGTACACACACTCACACACATACACTCACAGACATGCACACACGCTCTCACACACGCACTCTCACACACACATACACTCACACACGCACGCACACACACGTTCACACACACACACTCACACACACATACACGCACACACATGCATGCACACACTCACACACACTCACGCATATAATATATGATAAAACAGCATATATTTATATTTTAAATGGTGGTCCTCTCATCCGGCCCCTCCTCCCTCGTCCTGTCTCACCATGACCAGAGCACACTGACAACTCCTTGTAATCCTTGAAAACAGGAAGAACGTTACGACGGGCCAATGATCGTGACGGCGGCCATCCTTCACTCAGCACTGACAGCGTCCTCCGTGATGCGTGCCTTTCCAGACGTGACTTTCTTTAATCCTCATTGAAAACTTGAGAAGCTGTAACATTACTGATTTTATAGATGAGAAATCAGAAGCTTGGCAAGTAAAACAAACTGCCAGTGGCCACACAGCTAGCCGAGGGCAGTTCCAGGGGTCAGAGCCACGTCTGTCTTACTCCAAAGCCTACGCTCTTTGCTAGAACGCTGAGTTGCCTCCTGACCCCTCCTCCTAGCCAACATTCAGTGTCCGAAAATGTCAGAAGCCATCCTCCCTCAGGACCTCCATCACGGCCGGTGTCCGCACAGCACACGTGTCCTTAGGGCGGACTCTGCTGTACCCAGGGGACTGCGCTTGTCCAACTCTGCTTCTAACTAGAAACGAGACGGTGAGAGGAAGAGATCGCAGGTCTGATGACACAGTTAGTCCTAAGGACATGGACAAGGAGAAATCCCCCTGGACTCTCCCGCTGGCCTCTGCGACACAGGCCGTTTCTCCGGCAGAGGCCACAGCCAGAGCTCCTGGGCTGGGAGACGTCTGCCTCCACCGGCTCCTATTCAGGCGTTGCTGCCCCCAACGCCCCTCTTCTCAGTGGGACCAGGCGAGGGGCTCAGCAGGCAGCCGAGGCTCACAGATCAGGGCAAGCACAGCACGCTCGCCACCTCTCTGCATTTCCTTCTGTTCCTCTAAAACAGTGAGGACAACTCCAACAAGTTGAGAGTACGGACCGGTTTCCCCAAGCAAGTTCAAAACAGAATTCTCCGGATATCACCATCTCTCGATGGCAGCATCACCACAATCAGCGGCTAGCTCACCGCACGTATCCACGGGCTCCTCGTGATGGTCACCGCTGAGAAAAATGGACCATCCACGCTGCAGGCCAAAGGCTCAGTGAGAATGGAATGGAAAGATATCTGATGACTGTGACTTAACGAATTTTCCCCTTAGATTCGACTCATTTTTCACACCTACTACTCCATTCTTGATTCGAGAGCTGGTGCAAACAATGCCTTACTAAAATAGGAAAGCGGAATGGTACACATTTGGGTTTTTATATCCTTTTACAGAAAATAGGTAGCTTTGTACTGTCCTAAATTTTGAGTGGAATTTTCCTCCCTCAAAAAAAAAAAAAAAAAAAAGCAGAATGAAAAAAAGGAGATAATGTAATCTTCTAAAGAAGAGGACGAAAATAAAGAGTAAATTATTTTGGACAATTTGCTCTTTGGTATTTGCATAAACTCTCTTAGGTGAAAAAAAAAACAGTATTATTGCAGAAATAACATGAAAGTATTATACTTCCACATTGTACTGTTTAGTTTAATTTAAAAATATTAACTGAGAACTGACAATTGCTGAGGAATAAACGCAATTTTAAGA